AAAGAAAAAAGAAAGGAACGCATTTATTTTTATTCTACAGTAGGGGGGGCAGGGTCAAAAGTAACACGGAATGAACGTAACGAACGCAATTACTTAAAACCTATTATTCTTGTACAAATCTATCCGCTGCTATTTGTCGTCTTTTGAATGCCTTTCTCGCCTCACAATCAGTAGCGTTCAAAACTCAGTGTTGAAAGATTATGCGTTTATTGCGTCGACGCAAAAAAAAACACGACCAAAGTAAGTAATTTGTGTTTTTTTTCAATTTCTCAATATTTTATTGGAAATTTAATTTGCCCTCTTATTTATTGTCTATAAATCAATAACTATTCCTTTAAGTAGTTTGGTACATGAAAACAATATTTGGAAGTTAGTTTTTTAAATAAAAATCAATGTTGGACCAATTCTAGCAGTCAGGATAAAAGTAACAGACTGTTACTTTTATCCCGACACGAAAGTAATCATTGTTATTGGTGTTGACTTCCATTTAGAATGCCGAATATACGAAAGAGGAAAACGAACAGAGGTTTAGCAACACCCGAAATATATAAATTGCGACAAAAAAAGTCCATAAGGCTTGAACTAATAACACATTTTATTATGTATTTTGCCATAATTATCTCTCTGAATAGTGACTTCTTTCTTAATTTTGTAGCAGATACTAAAGTATTCCATACTTTTCTTTTATTAATTTCTAATTTTTTTAGTCTATATTAATATCAATCTCAAGGTCATAGAATTTTGTTACCTTTCAAATTTTTACTATTTACGGGTATAGGTAATTATTTAATCTTAACTCAAAAATAGTTTATGTTATAAAGAAGAAATTCCTTGTTACGTTAAAAACTTTTTTTAATTTTATGTTTGTATAATTTTATGTTTAAAATAATTAAAAATGCCTAGACGTATTATAATTATTTGAGAGAAAAGTATCTTTGTCTTGAAGCAATTATCAAGACTGAAATGAAACGTTTTGCTACATTGATTATGTTTGTTTCTATTTTATTTTACCCTGTTACAATCAACTCTGAGTCTTGTTACAACTGGCCCTAAAGTTAGGGACAATTGTAACAAATCTCGATCTTCATAAAATTTGATTTTTCTACTTAATTATAAAATGTGATGAGATTTTATCCATCCTATAATGTAGGCAAAGAATGTGTTTACCATATGAAGAAGAAAAAGTTTATATGCAAACAAGCAAATGGAAAATATCGATGCAAATAAAGCAAAATGTTACTTACCTTTGGTAACTACCCAGGGCTTCGGTTCGGGTTTTGAAGTCATTTTTAAATGTGTACTGTAAACATGGTAAACATATCTTTTAGTTAATGTATGCAATAAATATCTGTACAGTTCAACGACTGGTAATAAACAAAACAAAAAACGGACATGTATACGCAAATAATAAAGATTTAACAATGCATTTAATGTCTGCCATAAAAATTGCGTTTCGCACACCTCTACTGGTATTTTCAACGAGTGGAAAATCACGGTCGCGATCAAAATCATTTGTGCGAACATGGAGAAAATTTAAAAGAGCACAATATCCGCCCGTCGTTAAGCGTCGCAATTGAAATTTTGTTTTGTTACTACGAAAAATAAAACTGCTTGCAAGGACGATGCAGTATGGATACTTAGAGTGCGAATGTATGTATACATACAATAGATTGATATTTAACATTAGATTCAAGGACAGAAATGTTCAGCATTGTATTTCGTAATTTTACAAGTTTTTGAGTCGTATAAAAAAATATATCGTACAATATTTGTAAAAGAGTTATTATTTTTAAAGTAACAATTTTATTAATATCTCGCCCGCAAATTAATTTATGTGTATTGTCAAAGATACACGAGACTTCTCACTGAATTCACGCGTGGATTCTCTTTTCGCAAGAAATGACACGCCTCAATAAGCCAGAACTTTGAATCGCCTTGCGCGCATACACGGAAGGAGGGTACGCGTGGCGAAAAATACACCGGCAACCATCATCAGCGTCCCTTATATACAGTATAGAACGTGTTAACGAGCGTTTACACGAAAAGTGACACCGACCATTCCGGAACGCCACGTTTTGCGAGAGAAGCGTTCCCGGGGCGAGAAGATGTTTCAGGTATTCATAAAGGCGGCTCGTTAATTACGCCCGACGTCTTAAAGTAATTAACTCCAATGGGCCCTCGGATCTGTCCGGGTCGCGACGGTTCCCGGCCCTTGGGAAAATATACTTTAAATAACTTTAAATTTCTTAAAAGTATCTTAAAAATTTAAGAGTTTACTTAAGAAATTTTTAGGTAAATTAAAATGTGTACAAGGTTAATCTAAAGTAATCTAAGAAATTTTAAAGTATTTCAAAACTGACTGTAAAATAATCTTAGAGAACCAAAGGTTTTAAAAACTGACTTTAAAATAGTATTCTGGTACTCTAAAGGAGTGGAAAAGTAGCTTTAAAGTAATTTTAATAAATCTTAGGTAATCATAAGAAAACATTAAACTTTAAAGTTTTTTTATAAATCTCGATCTTAACTTAAAAGTTACATGGAAGCAAACTTTTAAGGAGATTTATCTCATGTAGTTAAATCTTTAAGATTTAAAGTTATAAAGTTAAAGTTATAAGTATTTTAAAGTTGGACTTGGTTAGATGGCGCGTGTGTGAATGGTAGCGGTGAAAGTGTGTTGTGCGATTTTAGCTTTGTTTCTGAGTTTAAAGATTAGTGTGTGGCAAGTAGGGATAATGGAAAGATAGGGTGTAAGTAGGGGATGCGATGAGAATAAAGGAGGATAGTAGGATGCAAGTAGAGAAAAGTAGTATAGAAGTGAGTGGTAAGATTGAGGTTGCCATGAGATATGCCATGGTGACGAGTCAGTTAGGCGGTAAATGGCGGTAATGGCCGGTAATGTAGGTAAAGTAGGGAAGGTTTCGATCGAGGTATTTTATAAGGTTTACAGTTATAGAGGATAACTCTTAAGTTATTTTCTTTATTATTATTTCTATATTATTGCATCTGGAATTTTTAAAATGCTTTTAAGTTTTAAAATAAGATATAAATATTTATCTTCTTTTATATGTCTGTCCTTATTAGGAAGAAATAATTTATAAGATTTTCTTTAGTTTTTATAGTTTGGTTCCATTGAAACGAGTATAAAGGATAAAAGATTCGTATAAAAGATTTCAAGTAAAAAACAAAATTGTATTAAATTATCGTCAGGTTTAAATATATTAAGTAGCATGTTTTACAATAATTGCAGTATTTTAACAAATAGAGCCGCAAAGCAATTACTTATAGAAACACTAAATAAAACAGTAAACCCAGACCAAAACAAGAAGCTCTCCAGCTATTAATAAATCTGGCAGAGTTGCAAATAAAATTTAAATTGTAAAACATGGGTGTACTAAATAATATTTTAAAAACACTTTAAAAATTCATAATAAATGAAATAATAACAAATTTAACTTACAATAATGCTTACTTTACCCAGCAAACACAGAAAACACCGAGTTTGCTGGGTACTTATCCCTGTGAAAAAACCTTAGAATTATGAAAAGTAAATTTAGGCATTTTTAACTTTAAAATTGTCGAAATTTACTTTTCATAATTTTAAGGTTCCTTTTACATTCTTCTTGAAGTAAGTTGCCTTATAGTTATAAGATTACCTTAAACAATAGTTTTAAAGTGTCCAAATTTACCTTTAATTTTTTTTAAGTTTTTCTCTAAGTAAGTTTTAAGTTTTTTTTTTAAAGATTTCTAAGGTAAATTTTTCCAAGGGCCATGCGGTCGCGGTTAATGTAATTCCAGTTAGTCTTCTGATTCTCCCCCCCTTCCCCTTGCGCAATTACGAGAGAGCGCTTCTCCTGGCGATTTTCTACCTCTCATGGATTTAACGCGATATTCCTGTTAACCGAACCCGAACGAGCGGATTGGTTGGAATATAATAGGGATAAGTAAGAGTAATTTCGCCACTGTGTGGGGGATAAATGTGGCACATTTGAACAAATGTTGGAGTACTTTTTAATGATAAATTAAGACAAAATTGCGAAAGAAGCACTTAATAAAGGAACCTATACGATTCTTGGTATATTATGGCTTTAAATTTCCTAAAAATTCTCTAATGTTATCAATGTATTCATTAAAAGCAATCTATCCAGTTTTTTTAAACTATCAATCGTTAGTAATACGATTACAATATATATCGATTAGAGTATAATCATAAATTAGCCGCTAAGCGCAATCAAATAAATAAAACAAAGGGCAAAGTCCAAAAAGTGTCATTGTTTTAGCGACAATAGTTACGATAGTATCCTGATTAAGCGTCATTCAAATGCGTCCCTCGCATATTGGTAAGCACACAACAAAATGTATTTCAATAAAATATTTTACCAAAAGCAGTTTTGTCGCCCTTATAAAAAGTATATAATTCCCATTGTGCATTTTAATACGCGATATAGCAAATTCAAATACGCGTAACAGTATTTGCAGAAACACCCCATATAGGAATGGCCAGTAGTGACCAGAAGTCAAGGCTTGGCCGAAGCTATGGCGCTCAATTATTGGCCAAGAATCTATCAGCCAATACTGGCCTATCATTGGCAAACTGGTTTGTTGAATAGTCGGGCGTTACAACGAAGGCCGACGCCTGGCTAACGTAGGGCACTCAACTGTCGGCCAGAGTTCTGTCAGCCAGCTAGTACTCGACCAATAGTGGCAAATAACTGACTGCCTATAACTATAGAATAGCCAGGCGTTGTGACGAAGCCTTACGCTTGGCCAATTGTTGACACCCGCACATCGCCCAATATTCTGTTAGACAGTACTGAACCATCACCTAGCAAATGACTATGCAAATGTCGGATCATCCGATAAATGGTATTTGATAAGATTCGCTCCTCTTATTTAAAATACAACCAACGATGGTATAAGAACGATGTATAAATGACGGAACTGCACAACTTATATCAGTTGTATCGTGAAGTCCACTTTTATAATAAAATGTGACACACTTTTGGTTTGATGTTAACGTTAATGTAATCTTATTTTGGAAGACCGATAATAATTAAATAAACATAAAACATAAAACGTATGCGAGAGCTTTAACCTTTTTAATTATATTCCTTGGGATTAACGTCAGAGAATGTCATTAAAAAATGCTCGTCAATTTCGAGCTTATTGTTCCGAACGTTATTCGCGCAGAATAATGCGTATGTCTCATATAGGATTTTATGAGAACCTCATAGACTATAGAGCGAAAGCGTCGCGTTCTCGAAAAGACGCAACGCATAAAATATTCGATAATCCCTCTTATTAAAACCGAATAAAAACAATTTTATATTTCGCAAAAATTATAAATAGACTCACAAAGGGAAACCGCGTACTTGGGGTCACCAAATTGAAAAACGTTTTTAGTATAGTACTCTACCAGAAGAGTACTTGATCAAAGGAATAAGGCGCAACGCTCAGCCATTCCGAGAAAAAAATATAAGTGCATGATTACTATATACGTTGTCGACCCGAGTTCAATTTCTGTCCCTCGCACTTTTATTTAATTTTTTTCATGCAATAACTGTTTATTCGTGTAAAATAAAATTAATGTAAGGAACAATTTTGTTTTCTCTTTTAAATTCGCATTTTTAAAGGGCAATTTTTTAAAAATTAAAAAAAAATTGTCTTTCGAAAATGCGAATTTAAAAGAGAAAACAAAATTGTTGGTTACATTATCTTTATTTTACACGAATAAACAGTTATTGCATAAAAAAATTAAAAAAAAGTGCGAGGAACAGGAATTCGGTTTTAACATAAATTTTTTTTATTAACCCTTTTTGGTCACACTAGGTAAAATACATCCCAGCGTTTCTTTGACTTCGAAAACGACCCAGTAAACCAATGGAAATGGGCCTTGTGCCGCCATTTACAGGTAGTTGGGACCTTTAAGTATCGATCCCCGTCGGTGGTATATTTTTCGGCCCGTTAGTTCTCTTTCGGCATTTTTTTTCGCACCTTCATACCTCAAAATAAATAAACTTTTTGGAACGGCTGCATAAACTGTAATAATCAGTGAAAAGTGCATCATCTGAGGATGAAAAAACCGTTTGAAAAATTAAAATATCTTAAAAATTGAAAAAGTTACATTAGTTTTTGTGAAAAAGTCACTTTTCCGACTTTTTTTTCAACAATTTTTTTACATATGTTAAATTAATTTTTTGCAAATCAAACCTATACAGTTTTTTTAAGGAAGACTTAAACTACAACAGGATATTTTTTTGTTAAGGTCTGCACCTACAATTTTTTATACACTTGCAAACACGCTGTTGGTGTATTTCACCCAGTGTGACCGGTACAGGATTCTCGGGAAGTGTGACTAAAAAGGGTTAAGCGTTCTGATAGATCATGGCATACTTTCTTTGTAAACTTTTTGAATTTTTGCAATATCTTCAAAATTGAAGAAAATATAGTACACGAAAATGTGCTGTGACGTCATACCTTATATAAGAAATGACGTCATACCCTTTGAAGTTGCCGTCATCAAAGAAACTTTAGCAAGCTATAACTTTCGCAAATTTAGGTTTTTTTTAATTCAAAAAGTACTAAAAATCGGCTTAGATTCTCTACATTAATTATGGATACCGCTTAATAAAAAAAATGTTAAAACCGAATTGTGTGTGTGTGAATTCGGGTCGACAACGTAGTAATCGTGTACTTACATTTTTTTTCTCGGAAATGGCTGAGCGTTGCGCCTTACCTTTGTTCAAGTACTTTTCTAGTAGAGTACTATACTATGTAAAAACGTCTTTAAATTCAATGGCCCCAAGTACGCGGCTTCCCCTTGTCAGTAATGATCATTAAGATATTTACGTCTATTCTATGACACCTATCTTCCAAATATACGTTTGCTTCAAAAATATAAAAATTTATACGTTTAAATATTAATACACTAATTACTATTAATATGGCTCGAATCCGGCGCAGTAGAGTAGAAAATGACGCTGAAAAATTATAACAATTAGAACCACCATTTTCTATCTTGCTGACCGTAACGAGAACCTTTCAATGGAATTCTCGTTGTGCTGTAATTAAATATTACACCGGTTTCGTTCGTATAAGTTGCATTGGAGCATTTCCCCCTTTCTTTTCACCACACAAACCAATAACAATAATAACGCTAATAGTTTATAATGTAGTTGTTTAAATTGTCTACGCAACAATTTTGTCCTGACAAACTTGATACCGGGAATAGTATATTGTGCACCAAGGGGAGAAAGTAGCGTTTTTCAGACGAGTGTAAAGTTTGCCGCCCGAGCCGAACGATATTTGCACGATATTTTTCACAACATTTTTATGGAAAGTCCGACTTCCATGCCTAGAGAGGGGCGAGATGAGTGGCCAATTTCACGCCAGGGCTTACTTTCCTCCCTAAGGCAGAAAGTATAATAAGCCCGGCGTGTGTGAAAATTGATCACTTTCGCCTCGCTGTATACATGTATTTAAAAGTCGAATATTTTCGTAAAGGTATTGTGAAAAATATCCTGTGCACCACGGGTCGAAAGCTTTTTCAGAAAACGCAGCTTTCTTCTTTTGGTGCACAATATGTAATTCCCTTCTGTTTTATTCGCGATCTTCGTGCAAACAACGAACGTCCGCGCACCTGGAATTGTATGATACGACAAACACTCCAATTGTACGTACCTTCGTACTGCGAATCGAACAAGTCTCTTCTTCTAGATAAAGTCAAGGAACTCGGTGAAATGTTAAAATCGTCTCTACCCGTCGTCTTATATAGGCCTCGGGGCATGTAGAAAAGACTTGAGTAAATAACTCAGCTAATAAGTTGAAAATTCTTAAAAACGCGTTGTGCTGTGATTGGCTGCCACTATCGAATTCTTAGACTCTTTTCTATACCTCCATCCTGTGATTAGCAGTGCCAAGGCAAAACGTCCTGGAGTTTTCTAAGGAGCCCCCAATTTTCGTTCCACGCCCACCGAGTCTTTACCGCTACCCTCTCTTTATTACTTGGTGCTTAGATCTTTAGACCAAAATCTGAACAGTGTGTTGACCTTATTATCCAAAAGAAATGTACAGTAAAAAATTTTGTGTATTTTTGTTTAAAAATAGTTTTGTTAAAATTTTTGTGTTAACCCTAGGTATGCACACTTTTTTATCGCATACGTAGATGACACACTGGGGTCTGGAGATGTCGGTAAAGTTAGTATATCATTTTCTAGCAGATCAAAAATTTTTTGTGGTATATTGGAAGTTTGAAAGTTTTTAACAAAATTTTTTTTTTTTTTTCGATCGTCTCCTTGACAGTTAAAAAAATTATTGAAAAATAATTTGTTTAATAAATAGTACGAAATAATTTTTTTTTATGTTGTAAATAATTTTATCATAAAATATAGTCCTTTTGTGACAACTTTTATTTAAAAAATTTTTGTATTGCACTTAAAGGAAAAAAGTTATGCAATTATTAATTAAAAAGTCAGTAAATTTTCTATTATTTATAAATCGAAAAAATTTGCAATTACAAAAAATATATTTGACACCATATTTTATCTCGTCTGAAACTACCGATATGCAAAATTTTATTCATTTCTGAGAGGTGACTGATCCGGTTCACGCGGAATGGCCCGCACGTAAAATAGATAAATAAAATAATTTAAAATAACTCAAAAACACACACAGATGCTGTGATGGATTTTAAAATCTTTAAAGTAAATTTTCTCGAAAGTCAACCTTTTATGCTTTACATTTTTTACTTTTTACACGAGGAATTATATTCTTACAATTAGTTGTATTACAAATTGATTATCGAATGTTATTCAAAGGTTGTATAAAACAAAATACTTAATACTCCTATAGATTTTATGTAAAATATTTTTCGAATAGTTCTGAGAATACTGAAGCATTTTCTATAAAGTTCCAGACACTAGCAATGTTGTATGATTTTCAAATAAATTAATACCGTCCGAACACTGCATACTTAGAAAGAATAGAGTGATATGCTGTGTTAAATCTCGGAGTTCCGGTTTATCTAAAATATTTTTTGAATAGTTCGAAACACATTTATGCATTTTCTAAAGAGTTCCCGGCACTAGCAATGCTGTATGTATTTTTAATAAATTTATATCGCTCGAGCGCCGCGTACTACTTTCTTTTAATTAATAATACATCACTTCGATTTACTTCTCAAGCCGAAGAACATTAATACAATATTTTAAAACGCTCGAAAATTTACTTGCCATCTCTTAAATCAGAAAAATTTTTTTTATTGTAATACTTGTTTGATTTAACCCTCAGTTATCACAAGGAGTCAAAGTGACGCTAGACTATTTTTTAAAAATTAAAATAACATGCTCGAACCTTAAGAGAACTATGCATTTTGAGCAAAAAACATTGAAAAATGAATGTTTTGTTTTTTTTCCGGAATTTACAATTTCTAAGGATTTTTTTTTAACATGATGCCACTCAATAAGTTAATTTTTTATAATGAAAATACATTCTACAATTTACAATTCAAAAAGAGCTTTGTACTTACAGTAATGTATTAGCATATCACAATTATACATATATGAGTAAAAGTGTTAATAAAAATAACAATTTTTTGAAAATTACTAGAAGCTTTACTCTTCTGAAATACATACAGGAGCACTAAAACTATAACATAGGGCTCGAAAAGAGAACTCGTGCCGACGCATCAGCATATCACAATCGCATCAGTAATAAACGTTTACTGCGGAGAACTAGCAGATCAATTTCAATATGCTGAGAACTATTCGAGAAATATTTTACATAAACCAGAATTTCGAGATTTTCTACAGCATATCACTCTATTCTCTCCAACAATAAGTACGCGGCGCTTAGGCAATATAAATTTATTAAAAAATCATACAATGTTGCTAGTGCCGGGAACGCTTCAAAAACTGCTTCAATATGCTCAGAACTGTTTGAAAAATATTTTATATAAATCAAACCTCCGAGATTTCGTACGGCATCTCACTCTATGCCACGGAAAACTAGTTGATAAATTTTTCAATAGATTTTTTTGGTAAAATTACCAGAATTATCACTAAAAAGTATCAGGAACTATATATAGAACTCGACTGTATGCGAGAAGAACTCCCTTTTATTTTTGATCTGCTAGAAAATGATCTGTTACGGGAAGTTAGCAGATCATTTTTTTGATTGACTGTTTTTTGGGTAAAATCACCAGAACTGTTACTAAAAAGTATCGCAGGAACTATAGAACACGACTGGATGCGACAAGAACTCCTTTTTATTTTTGATTTGCTGGAAAATGATATGCCAACTTCACAGACACTAAACCGAGGATGTGAAAAATAGATTCGAGGTCATTCGTAAATCGTTACAAGAAAGATTGTTAAGGCTCCTGCTGGCTCGCGAGCCAACTCCGCGTTTTTGCACAGACAGCGTCACACTTGGCAAAACTGTGAACTATAAGGCGTGAAAAATGACACGTCAAAACAAAATTATCCTTGCGATTTACAGCGTTATTCTTCATTTTAGTGCAGTGTTTTTACATTTAAAATTATTGTGATAGTGTTAAAATACACCGAAGATATCCACTTTATCGTGATTTAATATGTGCAAGCAAATACTTATTTCAATTCGGCAGATGTCAAACGGCTTGTTTTCGTTCTTGATTAGACAACATTCACTTCGACAAATGTAGATTACTCATATAAAAGGGGAATTTTCGGTGTATCTTACAAATCTATTTTATCGTTTACAGATGGTATTTTATTAAAAAGCATTTTTATTTTAGTGTAAATCGCAAGAATTTTTATGATATATTTTCATGATTTTCTCGCTTCTGACGTCAACAATTCAAGATGGCTGCAGTGAGTGAACAGGAGCCTTAAGATGTTTAAATTAAATTATGCATCGTGTCTCGTTCTCAAGATCACTAAAAATCACTAGGTAGTACCGCTTCCAGCGCGTAGGAGTCACCACAATGTTCAGCCAATAAGAAGCGAGCGACGAGAGTCCCTCCTTTGGAGATCCTCTGTCCGCCATCTTCTTGTCATAACGTTTTTTGTGCGTGAAGAGAAACCACGTTTCAGCAAGTGAAATATAATAAATCATTTATTTTGGTTGTAGAAATGGGAAAGAAGTCTAAAAAGAGAGACCGTTTGCCCTCAGTAGAGAGGCTACGGAAGAAGCTGAAAAAAATTCAGGAAAAATTAGTAAGGAAAGATAAAAGATACGTCACGGTCGAGCAGCCGAGACCACGATACCTTTTCGTTATCCTCAAAAGAGACAGGTAAGCTAGGAATTGCCCTCTTTTCTAAGAGGCAATCTTATCGGCGGTGAGCTCACACGAGAGGTGAGACAAATTCCGTACGAACTGACTAGGTTATGTAAAGAGCAATGTCCTCTCTTGCGTCAGTAAATTGACAGCGTATATAACCTAGATCTTTTTGCACTTCCAGATACCCCTCGAGACATAGATTTAAATCCTTTGCTCGATAAGGGAGATAAGGAAAATCAAAATTCTAACAATCTGGAAGTGACGAAACTCGAAAAGAACGACGATGACTTTGTCGAGTTAGACGAGGAAACATTAGAAATTCTCGGCGAAGGGCTTGTTAGCAACGAGGAGGAATTTGCATTCCATCCAAAATGGCGGAGGCGTGGAAGAAGGTCCTCGCTGAGGGTATCGACAAAGAGAGCAAAATCAAGCTCTTCAAAGCGTACCCACGGAAAGGCAACTGTCCTATCGGCACACCGAAATTAAACTCAGAGGTGGAGGCTATCGTGAATGATACAACAAAGAAACGAGACAAATATCTAGCAACCGACCAAGACCTTTGTGGCGCTAGTCTGTCGTCGTTGGGAAAAGCGATCAACATGATCCTAAATGATAAGAAAGCAGAAATCGACAGGAAAGAGCTGCTAATATCCCTGATAGACTCAGGCAGGCTTATGTGCGAGCTATTCAAACTGCTCACCAAAGCAAGAAAGGCTTTTATCTACCCCGGACTCGACAAAAAAGCCAAAGCACTTCTCGAGAAAGCGGAGACGGATGAGTTTCTGTTTGGCGCAACGTTGTCTCAGAGAGTAAAAACAGCCAAGTCAATGGAGAAGGTAGGCCTGTCTTTAAAGACGCAAACAGCGGAGAAAAAGCCGCCCTTCAAACCTCGTGCGGGGTTAAATTGGAGGGGCCCGCCTGCGAAGCCCTTCAACCAGTCACAGGCGGGCTACAATCGCAAGACACCTCAGAGGACGTACCAGCAGAACAGAGGCTACGAGAAACAGCGACAAACACCGGCGCAAACACAAACTCAGCAGCCGACTGCACAGCCGAATCCTGCGGCAACGTCGAAGTAGAGGTTAGGATAGCAGGACGATTAAGACACTTCTGGAAAGCTTGGGCTAAAATCACGTCAGATAAATTCGTTTTGAATAGCATATCCGGATATAAAATCAAATTTGACGAACCACCGGTTCAATTAAGAGTAGCCAGAAATACTTCTTTAAATCCTAAAGACGAACCTCATTTACAACAGGTAATAGATAATTTGCTCAAAATAGGAGCAATTCAAAAGTGCGTTCCATCCGAATCTCAGATTTTGTCTTCGTATTTTTTGGTTCAGAAATCAAATGGCAAATTTAGATTTGTATTAAATTTAAAAGACTTAAATAAGTTTATCAAAACGGATCACTTTAAAATAGAGGACATTCGTACGGTATTAAAATTAGTAACAAAGGGGTGTTTCATGGCTACCCTGGACCTCCAGGATGCGTATTTCCTTATTCCAATAGATGAGAATAGCCGAAAATATCTACGTTTCATATGGAAGGATCAGGTGCTCGAATTTGTGTGTCTTCCCTTCGGCCTAAATACGGCTCCGTGGCTGTATACGAAAATCATGAAACCAGTAACAGTCCTTTTGAGAGAAAAGGGACTGAAGTCAGTAGTGTATTTAGATGATTGGTGGTGTCGGGGAAGAAATGTCATAGAATGCTTAAAAAATATTGAGACAACGCAGCAGGTCCTTAAGTCCTTGGGTTTTTTGATTAACGAAAGCAAAAGTAACTTAATTCCGAGCACTAGATGCCAATTTCTTGGCTTTATTGTAGACTCTGATCGCATGACTCTCGAGCTTCCAGAGAAGAAAAAGCAGTCGATTTTATCATTAATCAAAAAATTCAAATCTTTACAGTCTTGCACCATTCGGGAATTTGCTCAATTTGTAGGCAACATCACGGCAGCCTGTCCGGCTGTTCAGTATGGCTGGATTTATTCCAAGGAATTCGAACGTCAGAAGTATTTAGCGCTATTGGAAAGCGAAGGAAATTACGATGCAAAAATGAGTTTGTCCGCAATACTGAATCCGGACTTTGATTGGTGGGAGTCACGCATCTCCGATGCTTTCAACCCAATCAGACAACAGGAATATGCTCTAGAAATATTTTCAGATGCGTCATTAACTGGCTGGGGCGCTGCATGCAATGGCGAAACTACGTATGGAGCTTGGGATGAGTTAGAGCGAAAAAAACATATTAACTACTTAGAACTGGTAGCAGCCTTCTACGCGTTACAATGCTTTGCAGCGAGCAGATACGATTGCGAAATATTGCTAAGAATTGATAATACTACAGCGGTAGCGTACATCAATCGAATGGGAGGGATCCAGTATCCACACCTCAACGGTATAACCAGAAAAATCTGGCAATGGTGCGAACAACGCAGCCTATGGATCACAGCATCATACATATCATCGAAAGAGAATGCTGAGGCTGATCAAGGATCCAGAACTATTAATATCGATACGGAGTGGGAGTTGGCGCATTGGGCCTTCCAAGCCGTAGTACGTAGATTTGGTGTACCAGAAATCGATTTTTTCGCAACGAGAAACAACAAAAAATGCGAAAAATTTTGTTCATGGCATTGGGATCCCGAGGCTGTCTGTGTGGATGCCTTCACGATCAAGTGGACGAAGCTTAAATTCTATGCATTTCCCCCGTTCGCGTTAATACTAAGAATAATAAGAAAGATACAGATAGACCAAGCTCAGGGTGTCTTAATCGTACCTTACTGGAAGTCACAGCCCTGGTTTCATTATGGAAATCAATGTTAATATCACAGCCGTTATATTTTGAGCCTAATCAAAATTTATTACTATCTGCTTGTAGGAAAATCCACCATCCGTTAGCGGGAAAAATGACGTTAGTGGCCGGGATATTGTTCGGCAAAACTTCCAAAGGCTAGGCATTAACGAAGATGCAATAGAGTTACTCTTAAACTCGATAACTCATTCAACTTTAAAACAATATTCGAAACATTTAGAAGATTGGGCTAAGTTTAGCGTATTAAGAAATTTTGATATGTTTGCTCCACAAATCAGTCAAATAGTTGAGTGGCTGACCGTAATATACAAGACGGGCGCGTCTTATGGAACTCTGAACACAGGGAGGTCGGCATTGTCGTTGATCTGTGGCGATAGAGTAGGGAAAAATCCCATAATTTCGAGATTTTTGAAAGGCGTGTTTAATAAAAAGCCAACGAAGGCTAAATATGAAAGAATTTACGATCTAGAGCCCGTACTGAAGGAATTAGAGAAACTGTATCCGTTAGAAGACCTTAGTTTGCAGGATCTTACAGATAAGTTAGTTGTTCTTCTGGCAATAGTGACAGCACACAGAAAGCAGACTTTATCGCTTATAAAGATTAGTAATATTCGAGAAATAAGCAATGGATACGAAATAGAGATTCCAGACAGAATAAAGACAACGCGGCCAGGGTCCTGTCAACCATTGCTGACTTTACCGACATTCAGAGCGAATCCAAAACTTTGCGTAGCCACTACTCTCGAGAGATATTTAGCCGTTACTAAAAATCTCAGAGAATCGATCGATTCGTTGTTCATCACGACCAGGAAGCCGTTCAAAGCAGCGGCAAAAGATACAATTAGTAGATGGATTCGTGCCTTTTTGGGTAAATGCGGCATCGGCGAGTCTTATGGCCCGCACAGTATTCGACACGCAGCCACGTCCGCTGCTTTCAAAAAAGGGGTCAATATAGCAGTCATAAAGAGACTAGCAGGATGGTCGGAAAAGTCAACAGAATTTGATAGATTTTACAATCGTCCTATTGTCAAAGAGAACAGTACTTTCGCAGAAGCAATACTAGCTTAAACGAGCAGATATTTAAATAAGCGGTTGTATGCGTGCGCTAATTATACTAATAAAATAGTGTGCTTACACAAAGCGCATTCATATTTTGTATAGATCCTAGACCTGACTCTAAACATCTACCTAGTGATTTTTAGTGATCTTGAGAACGAGACACGATGCATAATTGACCGATCGAACGAGCCCGCCGAAGGCGGGCGAAGTTCGGTCGTAATTATGCAGAGGGTCTCGTTCGAAAAGATCACTACCCTCCTTTTTTATATATATACCATTTAGGAAAATTCATTGTTCCCATCCGAAGATTCATAACAATAAGACTTTAAACTATATGACAAGAAGATGGCGGACAGAGGATCTCCAAAGGAGGGACTCTCGTCGCTCGCTTCTTATTGGCTGAACATTGTGGTGACTCCTACGCGCTGGAAGCGGTACTACCTAGTGATTTTTAGTGATCTTTTCGAACGAGACCCTCTGCATAATTACGACCGAACTTCGCCCGCCTTCGGCGGGCTCGTTCGATCGGTCAATTTACTTATAATAATGTACCTTTTTTCATATTTTTAAAACATGAAGAGAACCAGATGTTTTCTTTCTATCTTTGCCGTTCTATAACAAAGACATTTGTTGCGAGTAAAAGATTAGAGAAAGGAAAGTGAATATAGAAACACAAATATCCATAAATCAACAAGAGAAAAATGAAAAACGGATAAAGGATTTGGCAAAGGATGAAGCATTTGGAATGGTACACAGGTTCAAATTTGTAGGTAGAAATAAAAAACAAAGAAACTTTCTCTTCTGTCACGAATAAAATTTTTTGCAGTAAATTGAAACAATAGCTATCGAATCTACAATAGCCCTAACGATAACGGTCCTGTCTACAGAAACAATAGTATAGAATAGAATCGATAGTTTATCCACCGATACTAGCGGAGAGTGGTGAAAAATCGGTACTTCTGCACCGGCAAGTTACAAAATTCAAAAGGAATTCATTTGGCAAACACGCCGCGGTCAATCAAGCACCATTCAACAGCCATAATAAAATAACACACCATTGACAAGGGAGGCGGGAACAATTTCGAGCGATTCACCGACGCGTTATACGCTTGCACGACTTAGTTAATTGACTGGTCATTAGATTATTTTTAACAACGTCTACACGATATAGAAGACGGTGACATATGGGGGAAAGGAGGATAAAATGACCTTAAAGTTCGTCGATTTTTCTTAATTTCTGTGTTCTTCGATTTAGACACGATCACTATTTTATGCACACCACTATTTTATAATTTGAATACAAAAGAAAAGTTACTTGAATGCTAGCTATAACCGATGAATTAATTGGGTATGAGTCCACTTTCTATTTTAAGGGTGAACAGAAGAATTTTCGAATGATCTGCCGACATACTTGTCTAATTTACTTAATTGGCTGACTAATGACGTCTAATAGATAACTGTCAATCGGCTTTGCGGTCATTTGTCTCTTCTTTTTTTCCTTTTCTTTGATCAATCACAATTGAATATATTCCTTCACTTTATTTAACCCTTTTGCCAAAAATATTTCTATCGTATAATTGGTCAACTTATTTATTTAGAATTCTTACTGCTTATTCTTTGTTCATTCTAAACGTGTTTGAAGAATTATGTTTTATGAATAAACAACCGACATCGATATCAATTTGAAAGATAGCCAAAAGAAAACATATTATCAAACGACGCGATAGCGCTGTGATGCCAAGTATACATAAAAAAAAAGTTGGCAGACGACTAGCAGAACTCGACACTACCAATACCAAGTAGCTTATTTGGAGTTTTTGGGCAGATCGATTTTTCGAATCAAATATCTTATTAAGAACGAAAACTGCGATCGAAAATCTGACAACAGTTTTCTAATGTAACGTTGATACGAGCTTTCGATTTCAACTGTCTGATTAAGATTAGTGCAGTCAATACTGAGATCTCGAAGTCTCACATGTCAAAAATGTGAATTTTCTCGACGAGATCTCAGCAAGAGTTTCAGATTTCAGTCCTACGCGCGGATACGCGTTTGCATTCACTCACACAAAGCCAGTTTGTCCTTTGAAAAGCGGAGTTTACAATGATAATTTATAGCGTGAAATTTAAGTTTTAAGTCTTAATAAGAAGTCGATAGAAATTGATAAATCGCAGTCGAGTATTCTTTTCACATTCGACTGTGAATTGTCAATTTCTTACGATCCAAACATTTTTGAAGTGATTTTATACTAAAGGCAAAACACAAGTCTTTTTTGTCAGATACATAAAAGAAATCAAAAGAAAAACAGTAGGCGGGTCTCTTAAGGAACAGTCAATTTTTCATTTATGATTCCCACGGGAATAAAACAAATTACAACAGTTTCGGCCTAATACACATGTAACTTTACCCCGTGGAAGGCGGTAGGGGGGAAAAAACAAAGAGAGGTAGGGGTGGTACTGAGAATTTAATTAACGACGCGTGCAACGATAAAGCGAACTCGCTGCACAACGCAAACGGGCGTCGCACGCGCTCGGCTCCGCAATAAAACTCGCAATATCATAAAGAGTCAACGTTTATGGTGTGCGTAATTTTTATGTAAATCCGTGTAATTTGCCGGCGGTCATATGCGCGCTGTAAACTGTAATGTAATGTTTACGGTGATCTTTCAATACGCACGGTCGCGTTTTATCAGCTCCAACTCAAGTTCTCGTCCTCGTCAAGTTCATCAAGTCTTTCTGATTCCGTGAATTCGACGATTAATTAAATTAATTGTATCTCTTTCATTGCTATACTACATCAGTAATATCAGTAACCATTATAAACATGTTGAAGCTTGTCGTCTCAAGTAATTGTTATGAAATAGTGTTATGCGTTCTCTTTTAAATTCTTATATGCTTTTGTATCTATTCTTATTATTCTTATATTATTTATAAAATATCTGCCATCTGTTAACTATAATTAGAGAATAAAATATTTGGAATAAGCACTCGATTTGATTTGAAACAGATCCGAGATACTCTGGTTGAAATCCGCTATGATAAATAATAGACGTTCCCGAAGGTTTTCTTTCTCATTTAGCATATCATTTATACATAAATACATCCTTAAGAACGTATTTGGATATGAATACAGTTTTCTGACTGATCATATTACCATTCTGACTGATTCACGGCAAGTATCGTTATTCAAATATAAATATAATATATTGTACGTTAAGGGTCTTGGCGAAAATATGCGTCTCACACTTAATAATATAGGCCTTAATACTGTCTACACGGTCCCAAAAAAATTAGATGTCATTATTAGAAGGGGATAAGGACCGTCTGGATAAGAATCACTCTACCGAATTAGTTTACCGAATTAATTGTAACGACTGTAGTGCATCCTACGTCGGACAAACGAAACGTTACTTACAGACCCGCGTTAAAGAACATTTTAACGACGCATAAAGAAAGACGATTGCAAGCGTTCCGTCGTCAGCAAACATTGCGTTTCCCATGGCCATAATTTTAATTGGTCCGAGGTTGAGATATTACACAGGGAAAAAAACACAAAAAAGAGAGAAATCGCAGAAATGCTTCTAATAAAAAAATATCCAGATATATACCATTAATCTCAAAAACGACACTGAGAACTTAAATCCCATTTACGATAACGTTATCTCGAGCATATAAGCGTTTGTACTCCGCGGTCGTGTTCTCTGACAACCTTCGATTGTTTTCTTTAATTTGAAACATATACGATATCGTCAGTTTGTGCCTGACTTTCAATGTGCGAACATGACTTGTCGTGTGGCTGTGTAACGGCGATGTTCTGATTTCGATACTTTAAGCAACTTTCGCTAGCATGTTATGCGACATGGAATGGTGCCGCCGTGGATTATAATTATTAGATCGAACCCCAAAGTAATATTTATAAGTTTGTTTATAATTTTTTAAATAGATGTAACGGATACATATTTTTATACTAATAGTTAGATAATACATATAGAAAAAGTTGTCTTAGTACCGGACACTTGAACTTTTCGTCAGTTTCGTGGAAAAACAGCTGTTAATAAACAGTTTTGTGGAAAACCTGTTAACCCCTTCAACGATTGACACCAAATTCGATATCAACTTTCCTTTAATGATAATCTATCCATCAAAAAATTCAGCTCAATATCACAAAATGTACGAAAATTAGAACAAACACGGAGATTTGTTAAAACAAAAATCGGGGTAACCCCTTCACCAATTATCACTAAATTTAATATTAACATTCCTTTAATGACACATTATAAAACAATAACCTTTAATGAAACTCATAAAAATAAATTTCAGCTTAATATCACAAAATTTACAGAAAAGAGCAGTCATAGAGATTTGTTAAGATAGAAATCCTTTCAATCCTAACTTCTAACTCCTTTTGGAGACTTCAGAGACTTTAGAGAGAAAATGGGACTCTATAAGCTATCGAATGACACCTTATTTATTACTCGATTATTAGTTTCAAAGATATAACAAAAATTATAGCAATCATGGAGATTTGTTAAGATAGAAATCGGTAACCCCTTTTAGAGACTTTATAGACTTTAGAAAGAAAATGAGACTATATAAGCTATCGAATGACAACTTATTTATTACTCTATACGATTATTATTTTCGAAAATATAACAAAAAACTACGCAACCGGTTTAAAAAAAATCGGTATCAAAAAATTAACCCCACCACCGCCATTCCCGGAAAATTCTACCCCTGTTTCATATATAATTTTTTAAAATTTTTTCTATTAACGAATAAGTAGTTCGCGGAAAACGTTGCAAGTTGCAAGAAAAAACGTTGCATCTGTGCCTGAATTTACCCCCCCTTACTGTCGACAAAGACGTAGTTCTACGTCAAAAATTAGTAAAAGTCAACACACATGCAAAAATTTAATTGAGGGAGATTACTTCATAGTCATTGCTTACAATGTTCGCACACAAAGTGAACTATATTGTTGCTGAAAATTCAGGATACCGCTTGATGAATCCGGA